CATTTTGGAAATCATACCTGAACCACAACGAAACCTAAAACAAAAGATTCCCTAATGATGTTAATGAGATTGGAATCATTTGAGCGTAGTTAAACACCTCAAAAATCTTTTATGAATTGATATATAGAATCATGCACGCACATGTACGCGTAAACAATAAGGCAAATTAACGCACACGCACAAATGCGCATGACTCTCTCTCTCTCTGCTCTCTCCTCTCTTCTCTCTCTCTCTCTCTCTCTCTCTCTCTCTCTCTCTCTCTCTCTCTCTCTCTCTCTCTCTCTCTCTCTCTCTCTCTCTCCTCTCTCTCTCCTCTCTCCTCTCTCTCTCCCATCCTCCCTCCTTCCCTCCTCTCTCTCCTCTCCCCTCCCCCCCCCCCTCTCTCTTCTCTCCTCCTTCTCTCTCTCTCTCTATTCACTAACTTTAAAAGACAAATAATGATTAAAGATAAAAAAAAGAAAAAGAACCTCACTCAAAACTAGACCTTAGTTGCAAAGCATCAGTTGTTGCAAATACAGTATGCAATTGCACAGGGAAAACCCACGCCGGGTTCCCTGCAGAGTCACAAAGACAATTGACAGTAACAAAAAAAAGAAAGAAAAAAAAAAGAATTTGGGAAGGCGAGGATGGGAAAGGGAGAGGGAGATGGGAGGAGGGAGGGAGAGGAGGGAGGGAGGGAGATGGAAGGGGGGAGGGAGGGAGAGAGGGAGAATGGAGGGAGAGGAGGGAGGGAGAGAGGGGGGGAGGGAGAGAGAAGGGAGATGGAAGAGTGAGGGGGAGGGGAGGGAGGGAAGAGGGAAATGGAAGGAAGGGAGAGGGTTGGAAAAAGGAAAGAGGGGAGGAGAGAGAAAAAAAAGATAGAGATGGGAGTAGAGGGAAATGAGGAACAGGAAAAGGAGAGAAAGATAGATGAAAAAAATGAGAGAGAGGATGGAGGGAAATGAGGAACAAGAAAAATGAGAGAGAGAAATATGAAGAGAAGAGAGAAAAAATGGGAGCAAAGGACGAGGAGAAGAGGGAGAGGATGAAAGGAGAAGGAAAAGGGGAGATAACGTAGGGAGAGAGAGATAAAAAGGAAGAGGAGGGGAAGAGGAGGAGGGGAAGAAAACAGGAAGGGAAGAGAAAATTAGAAATAAAAAAGCGAAAGACAGAAGTAATAGAATAAGAAAGAAAAAGAAAGGGAAGAGGAAAGAGAAAGAGAAGAAGGAAATGAAAAGGAGTAAGAGAAGGAGGATGTGGAAGAAGGAAGGGGGGAGGAGAAATGGAGAGGGCGTGGGGAGGGAGAAAGTGTTGGAGAGGAGAGGTATGAGAGAGGAGGGAGAGGCGTGGGAGGGAGAAGTGAGAGGGGAAGTGTTGGAGAGGAGAGGTATGGGAGAGAGGGAGAGGTGCTGGAGTAGGGGATGAGAGAGAGAGAAGTGTCGGGGAGGGGGGGGAGAGGGAGAGGTGATGAAAGGAAGGAGAGAGAGGAGAAGCGTTGAAGGAGGGAAGTAGAGAGGGAGAGGTGTCGGAGAGAGGGTCAAGTGAATGGAGGGGGGAGGGAGAGGAGAAGATGTGAGAGAGAGGGAGAGAGGGAGAGATGCTGGAGTAAGGGGATGAGAGAGAAAGAAGTGTCGAAGGGGGAGAGGGAGAGGTGATGGAGGAAGGAGAGAGAGAGGGAGAGGTGTCGGAGAGAGGGTCAAGTGATGGAGGGGGAGGAAAGAGGGAGAGGATGTTAGGATGAGGAGAGAGGGAAGAGGGAGAGGTACTGGAGTCGGCGGAGGAGAGAGGGAAAAGGTGTCGGATAGGGGGGGGAAGTACAGTACAGGGAGGGGGAGGGAGGGGGGGGGAGTCGAATTTTATTGATGTCTGGTATCAGTTATTGCAAAGGGAGAGAAAGCGTGCAAGTTTGCCCCACCTTTAATCACCCGAGTGTCAGTGGTGTGTGTTTATTTACCGTGTTTTAAAGTCTCTTTTTCTCTCTCTCTCTCCTATTTCTGTGTTATGTGATCGGGTTTCTTTTGTTATTTTTTTTTAATTTCTCTATGCCCCTCTTCTTTGTTCTGTCGTCTGTCTGTCTGTCTCTCTCTCTCTCTCTCTCTCTCCGTCTTCTTTTCTCTCTCTCTCTCTTCTCTCTCTCTCTCTCTCTCTCTCTCTCTCTCTCTCTCTCTCTCTCTCGCTCTCCCTCCTCCTCCCTCCCTCCCTCCTTCCCTCCCTCTCCTCTATTTCTACCTTTTATTATCCCTCTCCTCTCTCCTCTCCCTCTCCCTTCACATTCACCTCATTCCTCCATCCCTATTTCTCCTCTGTCTCTCTCCCTTTGTCTCCCTCTCTCTCTTTTATACCAACAAGAACAACAAAAATGGTGGATGAACAGAGGAACAACAATTTAGCTTTTAATGAAGAAGAAAAAGTTTCTAAGTCTGAGAGAGAAAGATTCACGTCGAGCGAGAGATGGACTAATGAACTTCAGACAGTTGCGTCTAAAAGCAGTTCCTCAGAGAGAAGAGAAGAGAGAGAGAGA